TGATTCACCCCGAGCTCTGGAGCACAGACCGCACGAGTTTCTATGGAAACAAAATTAGTGGAGTAAAACTCTCCCTGCCAGCACACGGTGAATTATTCACCAGGACAGGCCCCTGGCCAGAGGGGCTGCTCAGAAGATTTAAAGGTGATCACAGAGTGGCTGCTGTGATCCCCCTTCCCTCGGGGACCAAACCACAGCCAGGGAGGATGAAAGGCCATGAGTGTGGTGGGAAGGTCCTGCACCTCCCTCACCACATCCACAACCTCCAGGGTCCCCAGGGAGAGGAGGAGGGCTTCCCCTGTCACTTCCCCCATCGCAGCCCCTTGCACCACAGCAGTAATGCAGGGCACAAAGTGTCACTGCCTGATGTCCACCTGCCATGCACCGGCCACCCCGTGGTCACCCATCCATCCCTGACAGCCAGGGTGAGCCTGAGGGCAGCACTGGGCACAGCCCAGCTCATCCCACAGAGCCAGAAAGAAAGGGACTACTGGAACACAAACAGAGAAGGTTTTTTCATGAGTCACTAAGCCATATGGAGGATACAAGCTATCCCAGGAAAGTGCCGAGCCAACAACCCAGCACTGCCGTGCCCTCGCTGTCCTGGGACAGTGTCACACTGTCATTGTCCTCCCTCGTGCTGGGTGACATTGCTCAGCAGAGGAGAGCCTGCTTGAAAGGCTACACCTCACCAGGGACAGGTATTTAATTAAGGCCCCACGTCAGGCCCCTCCTGCCAACCAGCACAGGCTGCTCCATCCTGGCACAACCCGGAATGTGGGGTGGAGAAAAGCCCTGAGAGGAGGAACGTTGAGTCTGCTCCATCACAGCACATCACAGAAATCACATGGGACACCAACCTGGATGATGAAGGCCAGCCAAGGCTCAGAGAAACTCTCAGTCTCCTCAGCAGCAGAGTCACTCCTGTGCCAGCACAGCTCTGGGTAGCAAAGGGACCCAGACCCCAGCAGTGGCTCTGCTTGTTGCCCCTTTGCCAACAGCCACCACAACAGGTCATGATCTTCTTCAAAACTCAATCTTGCTTCTCTTTCATCAATTTTCAGTTTGCATGACTAATTCAGGTACACCCCATGCCAGCTGATTTGCACTGATGGTGGCAATCACCAGCCAGGGAGGGTAAAAGCCACAAGGATTGCAGAAGGAACAGTTTAGGCTCCAGGAGCTGGGAATCCTCCCCAGAGACTGTCCCCCATCCCCACTGCTGCCTTAATGGCCCCAGCACGTGCTCCCAGTGAGCCATCTCCACTTGCTGGAGGTGATCTCCCTGTTTCCCCTGCTCAGCCCTGCTTTCCTGTGCCAAGGACAGGGCCAGCTCCCTGCTGCAGTTTGTGTGCCCATCGGCGTGTGCCTGCCCTGGGGGAGGCACAGCCAGGCCAGGGATCGACCAGCTGTCAGGCAGAAGGAAGAAATACCACTTCCAGGAGTCAGAGCTCATTTCCCAGCAATAAAAGCAGGCTGGAGCTGGAGAAATGTACCACTAATGGGGATGCACATCCCACACCACTCCAGCCGCCGACAGGAAAGTACCCAGGGGCTGTAGCTTGGAAAACTGAAAGCCATCAACAAGGCTTGGTTTTAAGTGGCACAGCTGTAGATTAGGCCCAGATCAGGGCACAAAGGATCTGCCATTCCCCACATGGATTATTGCTGTGGATGATGCCCTCCATGTGCCAGTCTTGGCTCCTGGCTCTGAGCTATGGCTCCTCCAGCAGATGGCAAAGAAAACCTTACTGCTTCCTGCCAGGGAGGGGAATGGCTCAGATCAGCATCACCCTTCACTGCTCCACTCTCCCTCCTCCTCAGCCCCATTGTCCCTGCTCTGGGGACCCGAGGAGGAGGCAGCATCTCCAGTGCTTGTAATGCCACCTGGAAAGGAACACCTGGAGAGTTTGTGCTTCCTGGAGTTATAGTGGGTGGATTTTGTCTCCTTTCCCACCTTTTCTCAGTGTGCTTTGGTGGGCAGGGTCCTCCCTGCCAAGTGGGCAGCCTGCCTTGCCTCTGCCAGGCTGACACCCCCCAAGCAGGGGTGTGGGACAGTTCAACCTCCCCAGAACAACCCCCGGGGAGCCAGGCAGACCCCAGGGGCTGGGACAGTCCCTGCAAGGCAGCCACCGTGGGTTTGAAGGCACACTTGTTTGTTTGTTTGTCGCTGGGCAACAGAGGGGATGGAAAAAATGCCAATGTCATATTGTCACCTATGAGTCACCGCTCAGCACGGGTCGAGATGCCCCGGTCCTGCCACCACGAGCGTGGGGAGACCAGAAAAGGGCCTGAGGCACCCCAAAAGCAGCTCACCCCTGCTCTCTCTGCCTGCCTGGGCCTGCTCTGACACCTTCCCCATCCCCACAGATGGGGACTGGGCACATCAGTGGCCCGGGGACATCGGGGGGCTCGGGGGCGACTTTCGGAGCCCTGGAAGGCGAGGCAGGAATCTGCATTCCTATTTGCATTTCCTAATTGCGCCTGCGGGTTTCCTGGGGCAGCGGCTGCCTCTGGTTTCCATGGCAGGTTTTGTGCAGACCTGGAGAACCGAGGGAGGCACAAAGAGGCCACAATGGACCTGCCACTCACCCGCATCAAAGGCGGCCGGGGGCAGCGCAGCCCGTCCCCCCGGCACCCCCAGCTCCGGGGGACCCCGGGCCAGGGGACAGGGTGGCTGGTGGCCCCTGTGCTGGCACAGCCGTGGGGACAGAGGAGTGCAGCCACAGCCGCTGGGGCAGCTGCTCGGAAGTGGTGCAAGAGCTGGACCCAGATGCTCCCCCTGCTCTCATTTCCTGTTTTTTCGGCCAGCTTTCCACCCAGCTGGGTGGGTTGCTTTCTCCTTCCAGCTTCCCACTCCGTTCAGGGGCTGTCTGGGTCGCTGCTGTGCCCACCCAGCTCCCGTGCTGGCCCCGGGAATGGGAGAACAGCCAAAACAGACACAGGAAAACCTGGTCCCCACACTGCCAGCCCAGTGCCCCTGAGAGTGCCACTGAGCAGAGGTGAGGCTGCAGCCACTGTCCCTCCACCCCCTGACATGGTGACAGAGATGTTGCCACCACAACAAGAGAGGGACCCATCTCTGCCTCGTGCACCTTTGAAAGCCTCTGTGCTGTTATTTCAAAGTTTTTTCTTATTTTATAGTTATCAATTACTATCACCTTGTGCTGCCTCAAAGACTCCCAGCTCTGACCACGAGCCCACCCACAGGGTTAGGGCAGAGCCCCTTCCCACACGTCCCACCTGGGATTTTACCCTCACAGCAGATCCTGACCATGAATGACCCTCTGATCCCCTCCTGGCTCTCCAGTGCCAGCATCCCCAGCATGCCCTGTTGTGTGTGCCCCCACAGAGGGTGTTGCTGCAGGCAGACAAACTCCAGCACGCCCTGTGAGGATGCTGCTGCTCCCAGGGCTCGGGGCACCACAGTTCCAGTGCCACAGCAAAGCCCCTCAGCCACGCCACCAACGCCGTCAGGTGTCGGCAGGTTTTGTCCATTTTCTTCTCATCTGAAAGCTCTTTTTTCATAAAATGCTGGGAAAGTTCAAACTTTCCCAGGAACTGTGTGGCTGGGAGGAGGGTGGGCACGTTTGACAGAAACGATTTTGGCTGTCAGAGGCTCTGGCAGCAGGGCTGTGCACAGGCAGGGATTGGTGCACAAAGCTGTGCCAGCGTTGGGCACATCCTCAGCACGGGGTGCTGGATACTCAGTGGGAAAGGCCACGGGTGCACAGCTACCAGGAGGTGATGGCAGGGTCTCCAGTGCCGTGATAACCACCAAAAACTTCCCACCAAAAGCTTCCCACCACCAGCACCGGGCAATCTGCGCTCCCACAGGGCTCCCCTGGGGTCCCATTGCCCCAGTGCCGCGCTCCCGCCGAGCACTTCCACAGGAAAACCTCTGTGAAAACCACAAGAAGCTTCTCAGCGCAGCAGATGCTGCCTCAGCCTGTGTTCTTGGCGATGGAGGAGGAGGAGGAGGATGTGAGGAAAGCCACAGCTTCCCCAGCCGCAGGGCAAAGCCCCAGCGGCAGCCTCAGGGGTCAGCCCAGGATGGTGGTTCCCCCCTGGAAATCCTTACGGCTCCAGCCCCCGTGTTTGTTGTCAGTGGCAGCAGCAGGAGGAGGTGTGAGGAGGAGGTGCGACTCCACTGCTTTTTAAGAAAATAATAAAAAAGAGCCTTTCCAACCCGCCTGAGAGACAGACGGTGCAGGAGAGCACTGCTCTGAGCGGTGCACTTGCCTCCTTCTCCATCGCTGTCTGCCCACAACCCACTGGCAGCAATCTCAGCGCTGGACAGGAGCCCCAGGTGAGGATCAGCCTGCCAGGGGGTGCCCTCCATCCTCAAGGAGGATGACAGAGGTGGCTGAGCTGGGCACCCGGTCGGGGGCTCACAAATGACCCTGGTCACGCAGGAGGTGACCACCACGCTGTGGCACACCCGCCAATTCCTGCACCGAGCGATGCCCACCCGGCGGGGATGGCGGCGTGCGAGGTGCGCTGCTCCTGGACGCGGCACGGGGGACAGGGACGATGTCCAGCAGCGGGAAGCCACCAAACGCACAGCCCCGGTGGCACGGAGGGGAGCGGCGATGCTCCGGGGCTGAGCGGGACGCGGCTCCTGCCCCGGGCCGAGCCGGCCGGCCGCGCCGGGCCCCACCGGGGATGGCTCCTGGTTCACCGGGGATGGCTCCTGGTTCACCCGGGACAGCCCCTGGCCCACCCGGGATGCCCCCTTGGCCCCACACCGCCCCGTGGGCTCCGCACGCGGCCCCTCCCGAGCCCGGCGGGCGCGGGGCCGCGTCCGCCGGGCCGGAGCGCCCCGCGGGCAGCGCCCAGCTCGGTTCGGCCCGGCCGGGGGCATCGAGGGGCGGCACCGCCCGGGCCCCGCCGCTCCCCGAGGCGAGATAGCCCTGGTGGGGTCCTGGGGATCTCGGGGTCCCCCCGTTGTCCCCAGGATTCCCCAGCGCCTCCAGCCATGGGGTCAGCGCCTCCGGCCCTGAGTGGCCTGTGGCCGGTGTGTGGAGGGAGCAGCATCCCGAGATCCCATGGATGCTTGGATGGATGGACCCATCCCAGATTTCCAGGCTGGCTCTCAGCCTCTTCCACACCTTTGGAGAGTCCCAGGCTGCTGGAGCCTGGACCTCCAGTCTCGTGGTAAGGAAGGGGAGACAGCCCCGCTGCCCCTCAGCTGAACATCGCAGGCGGGTTACAGCCCAGCATCGCTCGGAGCAGACAGAAAACAGCCGTCCCTGTACCGCACGCTCTGGCTGACAGCTCGGCACGGGAAGCGATCTCCTCTTACAAATTACAGGAGCCCGTTTACACAGGGCAAACACTCCCCGTTCCACGGAGAGCAGAGCGAGACCGCCAGCGGCAGCAGCTCAGAGCCTCCTCTTCCCTCCTGGCTCTCCAAACCTTCCAGACATGCTGCGGGAAGAACTCCACACTGCTGGGCACCACGGCCTCCCACAGCAGCCTGCCACAGCCAGAGACTGCTCGGGTGCACGGCTGTGGCTGCTGGAGCCCGAGCACGTGTGGGATGGCCCAGAGCTCTCACAGGACAGCTCTTGGCGCTGAGAGTTGTCCTGCTCCATCATTCCATCTGTGTCTGGGAGCTGAGCAGTCCTGGGTGAAGATGTGGAAGGCTCTGACAGGGAACACAGAGTAGGAGTGGAAATACTGGAGGCAAAGCTTCGGTTTTCAGCGCCTACTGAACATGTGCCTCATCATTCTCTTGCCCAAGTTAGCGCAGATCTGACTCTTCCAAGGCACAGCGCCTTGCAGGGAGCTTTGGTGGCTGCAATCTCCTCCTAATCCAGGCTTGTTTCAGGGAAAACAGGCAATTTTATATCCCTTTGATATGGGTCTTAGCTGCTAATGATGCTAGGAAGTAAAAAGAAATGGGCATAGAAATACACAACTATGAAGAATTAAAATAGTGAATTTAATTCAGCCAATTCCAACAAAATTGGTAATCCCCTGAAAAACAAACCTTGCACAGAAAACACAGAACAGAAATGGTTCATCTTGACAGCTGGTGAAAACAACTGGGTGAAAAGGTGAATGGAATATTTCTGACTTCTCTGGAAAACAAAAGGTTTCACACATCCTGAAAATGCCCTATTTTTGACTAAATGGGTCGGTTTGTGAGGCAGGGATTGTAAATGCTCTGCAAGGAAAGCACAGCTCTGAACTGCAGATGCCAAATGTCTGCTTTTCAGAAAGCACTGATGCTTCCCTAAAGGAAAAGCTGGGACCTCTAAAAATCCTAGAAACATGGAACGGTTTGGTCTGGAAGGGAAACTCAAAGCTCATCTCACTCTAAGCCTCCACCAAGAGCAGGGACACGTTCCACTAGACTAGCCCAGAAACCTGAAGAACAACAACAACAACAAAATATGATATTTAAGAATGGTAAGTCTGGCTGGGGCTGCAGGGCCATGCAGAGGCCCAGGAAAGCACGCGGGGCTGTCGCAGGCGTGTGGAGGGAGCTGGCTGGACAGCCTGGCTCAGCTCCTCGCCACTGAAACACTCTTTCCAAAGCAATACCAAAAAAGGTTTGTTTCTAGGTCAGGACCTCAGCACTCAATTTGAACCAGGGGCTGACAGTCCAATCTGAACACAGCTGTAAAATGGATTCGCGGGAGAAGCTTTGGCATTCCTTTTGTAATTAGAAAACAGCCACTGAGGCGTGTGCCTTTAAAGGTGAAAGCTATTTTTGACATAAAAATTAGCACGTAGTTCCTCTGTCATCCCTCGGCTGCTGTGCTGGGAGCTGAGAGTGAACAATCCAAAGATAAGCAAGAAGTATAAACATGCTGAATTATACAAATACGTAGAAGGGGATCAGGTTGAATTTGTTTTATTTTGTGACAGTTAGGAGACAAGGAGATTTATTCTTACACTTTTTCTCTAAAAAGCACTGGTTAAAAGGTCCACTTAAGCGCTGAAACCCCAATGGCATTAAAAAACTTGAAGAGCTTTTAATAGCTACCTATTGAAATTACTGTTAAATCTATTTTTGAGATGGATAAACTAAGCTACCAATGAAGCAGGGCAGGAGTTTTTGGGAGGGCCCAGCAGTGAGGAACTGTAATTCATTTCTCAACAACTCAGCTCCTGTACAGGGACCTTGAGATAAAAACTACCAATGCTTTAACAACCTGAGCATTCTTTAAATTCCAATTTTCTCTCTTTGGTGGGAATCTAACCCCGACAGCCCTGAAAATGAACCTGAGGCAGTTTTCAGGATACAGCTCAGAGTGGCTGTTTCTAAAATAAAAGTGAGGGAAGAGCAGCAGAACTTGGAGGCTTATCAGCACCCGGAATGGCCCGGCTAATCCTCGGCAGCCCCGGCCCCTTTATGTAACCTGGGATTGCTGCAGCTCAGCAGCTTACTGGGGTCTGGGTGCTTTTCTTTAAACCTCTTTCTTGTGGACAAATGCAAACACATTAAATACTTCTTTCTTTTGCCTCTCTAAGGAAAAAAATTGTTGTAAGAGGGAAAAAAAATGTTTTATTTGTATCAATGGCTAATAGAATTAAACTTGTATGCTGAGACTGAAACGTGTTTCTCTCTGATCCATCGTGACTGAACAGAACTTTCCCAGTTTACAATACTCAGGTGTAACTCTTGAAAGAAAGGTTGAATCCCAAATTTCTCTTCATCCCGAACACTCTCTGGAGGTGTTGGGGTGTTCCGAATAAAGAGAAAAGCAGCCCCTTTACACCCTGTACCCCATTTCTGGCTGGCTGTGCTGCAGTACTTCCATCCCTGTGGCCACCTCCCCGCGGCTCTCCTTGCCCAGGGGATGCCTTTCCATGCCCTCCATGACTGCTCTGACTGTCCACGGCACACATCCTTCCAAGGCAAAGCCAGCTCTCGAGCTCTCGGCCGTGCTAAGCCATTCACCTCACGCTGAATGCTTACGGAAACTTCAGAAGGAAAAAAATAAACCCCCTATTGAACTCCTTGCAATCGGAGACCTGAATGGGCTCGGTGTAAACCCCACTCGAACCAGCGGCAGCAATAGGCTTCCCTGGATGTTGGATTCCATCCAGCTTAAAAGTTTCCATGAAATAAACTAGGCTAAGCGCATCAGCTGCATAGGAACTAACTCGGTGTAACAGGAGCATCTGTTCTTCACGTCCACCATTTTCTCAGAGCCCCAGCCCGGCGGCGCTGCGAGGTGCCGGCGGGTCCCGGGCACGGAGCAGCAGGAGCATAGCACGCACGTGGTATAAACTACTGCACCAGGTAGCTTTTGTTTGTCAGAAAAACAGCTTAATGTATTTGCAAGGATGGCATTACAGAGCGAAGTCAATGTCCGCACTGAGACAGCAGAGGAGCACACCTCGGACCCATTAATACACGGTACAAAGCAAATGTTTACCCAAGTACAAATGAAACAGGTCGACAATTAGCTAATGCAGCTTTGTGGACATAAACCAGGTACAGTCGAGCAGAACCAACATAAAATAAAAAGGAAACAGCCCTTTTCCTAAGCCACGCTAAGAGCACCGTGGTTAGTGGTTTGGGAAGCCTCTGTCACGGTGAAAAATTTCCTTGCCGGTGTTTAATGTGTTTATTCTACTGCTACACTGCTGGGATAAAAATAACAGCTGGCTGTACAAGGGACCCACTGTCAATACTGCAGTAATTGACAACATACAATTAAGTCTCACACCTGTTTATTGTAAGTAATTCATAGATAACCACTTCTAGTACACATTTTCATATTGGCTTTTAATGCTTTTGTTCTCTTTTTTTTTTTTTTTTAAGCTCAGGGATACCCAAATTTCACCTAAGGGTCATCACTGTGGTTACCCAGACCCAGAAGGCTATACCTACTTTGGGGAACTGGTGCAAGGTGGCCAGGGATGGCAGAGATGGCTGGGGAACTGCAGGCCCCAACATGCAGGACGGTGTGGAGCGGCAGGGGGCCGGGGCAGGGGCTGGGGACATGCTGGCCGTGCGCGCCGGGCTCACACAGGGCCAAAACAAAGACCTCTACACACCTGGAGTAAGAACAGTGGTAACAAAGTCATAGCTACATATTCTTCTCTACATTTTTGTTTATTGAGACAAACTAATTAAAAGGCACAAACATAGGGCATATGTTTACATGGACATTATAACAAACATATACATTAAAAGTGTAGGAATGTGTTTCCTTTCTGCTAAACAGAAAGTTCCTAAGCTTTTATATATACAAAAGTTGTACAATTTGATGTCCTAAAGTACAAAAGATCATTTATAAAATTATTTTACACTAAGCTCTATTATTTTTTTTGTTTGTTTTTGTTTTACTATGTAGTCCAAGCCCCTAGAACAGTTTCACGTAAGGATACAGATACCTGTCACCTGAGCCAGCAGCCTGGCAATCACTGCTCGCACGGACACGGCCGGGGAGGAACGGAAGCAGTCCAGTGTGACTGGTCAGTCCTGCTAGCACTCTGTGAAAATGCACACGCTAATCTCCAGAGCTCTCAACTTCATTAAGATAAAAACATCTCAACTGTCATTTCCTCTTTTTTTTTTCCTCTTTTTTTAAAATTTTATTTAATGTAGAGGTTGGGTTTAGGGTGGTTTGTTTTTTTTTTTTTTTAAACAAAGTTTTAAAAATGTGAATATGTGACATGATAGTCTAAAAAGTATATCTGTTTCCCTAGACTTTGCTTTCTACTTTATGTACAGATAAACAGGTTAAGAAAAAAAAAAGCACATGTAGCTTAAACATGTGTGACCATTTATGAGCAGTTCTGGGCTGGACAGCTCGGCACCCCAGAACTCCCACAAATTGATAGAAATGTGTTAACACAATAGAAGAATAACGTAAAAATGATGATGTTTGCAAATATTTACAAAGTTGAACAGATTTGCACAACACTTGATTAAGAAATAGGGGAGAAATTAAAAGACGCTCTCTGCTTGTCCTGGAGGGGCATCCTACCTAGTTAGTGGTTAGAATAAAAACTGTATACAATTTAATATAAGACAAAACTTCTAGTGAACAACTAACACGTCTGTCCCCTGCTGGAACACCAGCAGGCTCTGACTGGGAGGCAGAGGGCATAAAAATCACACCCAGGGCCTCCAGAATCTTCCAGCTTAAAGCAATTTTCCTTAAATTTCCAAGCACTCCTTTTGCTCCTAGATAAGAGTCCCATGGGGGTCTGACTGTTCAGAGACCATGTTTACATACATTTCAACTCCTCTTCTGTCAGCCATGGCTGTTTCTCACCAAACAATAACAGGTTTTTTTTAAAAAAATGTTGACTACAATGCTCTATTCCCTTAGGGTAATATGTTGGGTAATATTTACATCTCCAAATATCAGGTCACAATCCCTATTATATGTTGAAGTTAGAATGATAAGTTATCATATGCTTTGCATATCAGAGCTGGTATCACCTTTCCCATAGGGAATGCTGCCTGAAATTACCATATTCCCAAAGGTAAAATGCATATTTTCTCCAAAAATGCATTTTTTTTAAAATGACAACATTGTAATGCATTTACTCCTTAAAAAAAAAAAAACAACCAAGAAAAATAAAACATCAACACAGACAAAGGTTCTACACTAGCTCAGAAACAGTGGACTTGCCTGGCAGGTTAAAATGAGCCATCCACCCTGTCACAGATACAGAGGGGTCTTCGCTAGTGTTTAGATTAAAATAATTTTCTAAGTTATAATTTGAGGGGATAAAACATAAAACTGGTTTTTTAAATTACCTTTTTTTGGTTTTTTTTCTCCTTTTTTTTTAACTCTGGCAAATAAGTATCTGTTCTAATTCAGCATCAGTCAGCTACAATGTAAAACTTACTTTAAATGAAGTGCTCCAGTGAAACTCAAGCCTGAACCATGCCAGTCAAATCAAGGGGAAGATGCTACTATGGTCTCTGATGGTGTTGCCCCAGTGTCTTAGTCTGAATTTATTATTAACTAAAACAAAACAAAACAAAAAACCCAACAAAACAAAACAAAAAAAACAAAACAAAAACCAAAAAAAAAACCCAACCAAACAAAACCCAAAAAAGAACTGCTGGTAAGGATTCCATTTTAATCCTTTTTAATACTGTTTAGAACTTGTTTACCAGGGAGGAGAGGTGGGCAAGGCCTGGGGCAGGAAAGGCATGCTCTCCACTGGTCTCATGGCTATGTTGAGGGGACCAGCCAGCGTCATGGGGGTGGGCAGGTTCATGGGGGACGTGATGGTGACGGGGTGCGCTATGTTCACCGGGGCGGTCACCGGGGTGGGCAGGTTCACCGGGGTGGTGAGCGTCAGTGGAGAGGTCATGGACAGAGGGCTGGTTATGGTGACAGGATGCCCTAAGTTCATCGGACTGGATATATTAACTGCACTTGATACATTTACTGGACTTCTCATGCTCATTGCAGCTGCCACTGTGACTGGGTTTGTGATAGTCCCAGAAGCCACAGAGGACGTTATATTGAATGGAGTAGTAAGAGTCACAGGCGTAGTAGCAGCAGTGGAGGTTTGGCACAAGTTAGCAGCTTCTAAAAATGAGACATAAAAAAGACAAAAAGTTTTTAACACATAAAAAAACCATGGACAAGATTTAAACAAAACAAAACAAAACAAAAAACCCAAAAACCGAACAAGAACAGGTACAAATTCTGGAATTATTTTCTTTAGGTATTATTAGTAAGTTAAAACTGTTAACATTCTATAGCCTACAGGAAATACAAACTCTCATGCAGGTCATTTCAATTGAGTATTTTTTTTCCTGAGAAGTCAAGTGAGGTTGTCTTAGCAAGAGGGTTTTTCCATGTTCATAAAAACAGTATTGTACAATCAAAAAATCCTCCCAAGAGGAACAGTAGAAATAGAGGAGAGTGTACATACCGAAGGGTACGTACTCTATAGCCTTCTCAAAGGTGAACTGACATTCTGTGAAGGTTTTAAAAAGTCATTATTAGGGACTGATAAGCAAAGCTCGTTTCAATATTTACCTGCTTATTTCAGTCTTAATTATTGCTACTAAACTGCTCCACTGCTCACACTACCTGTACTTCAAGGCTACCCCAGCAGCACATCCCTCAACCCCATCAGCTCCTCAGCTTCCACACAAGCTCCAGCTCCACACCATGTTGGTTTGGGGGGTTCTGGGGGGTTTGCAGCAAGCAGGACTGAAGTGCAGAGCAAGGGGCACCCAGGAGGCCGGGGCTGGGGAGCAGGGCTGGCCGGGGGACGCGGGGGGGACGGGAAGCACTGCACATCCATCAGCACCACCTGCCGGCTACCACAGCAGGGAAGGGGAGGGCTGGCTGCTGCAGAAACAGGGAAAACACACTCTGCACCAACGCTACTGAGCCGTGCCTGCTTCCACGTTTGGAGGGCAGGACCCCAAGCTCAGTTACAGCCACGTGTCACAGGTAAGCCAGGAGCAAAGAGTCCACTTTGGGGCAATACAAATATAACTTTGGAAGCAACATTAGACCCATTCAAGGGTTACTGTTGGTTCTTCAAAGTCCATAGCTAGGAGGGGTGGGGAGGAAGGGAAAAGAGTAAAAAAAAAAAAAAAAAAAAAATGAAAAAAAAATGTTCTAGACAAAAAAAAAACCCCATCTAGTGTTGTAAAGCCACCACAAGTGGAACTAGCAGAGGAGAACCAGCATGGAAAGAGCAGCTCAAGCATGGCACTGACTGGTCTAACTTCACCTTCAAGCAGTCACACTCAAAGACACAGCCCACCCATTCCCCTTCCCCTGGTAAGTTAAGCTAAAAGCACCAGTGTGACACCACTGTTACCCACCCACCTCCCTCACCCCCTCCTGCCCCAAACCACTGTTCTGTTAATGCATATTCAACATTCTCAGTAAGAAAGGAAAAGGAAACAAGACATAGGAAAGAACAAGAAGAAAACAATTCTCAGTGATTTTCTATATCAAACATCATTTGCTTTATCTATTTAGTGGTCTGATGATATGTAATGTTTCTGTTATCACTGCATTTTAACATGAATAAGGTGTTTCTGCACTATCTGATCACAGAAGTCAATTACTGGCATAACAAGGGGAAAGGAAGCAAGCAGCCTAAAACACAAACAAGAACCTAGAAAACAAAAACAGACTGAAGAACTGAAAGGAAGGTTGAGAGAAAAGGAAAAAATAAGGTGAGTGAAAAACATTCTTAAAAACAGCCAGTAAAAAAGAGTAAGCAGTGGTCATTAAGAACCTCTAAAACATGTAATCCATGAAGTCACATGATAGGAATTAATAATCTGTTGTGAAACAAATAAGCAGCAGCAATGGGAGAATTTAAATTACTGTATCCTAAACCCACTAAACTGAAACAATCTCTTCCCTACAATGACCAACAACAGCAATCCCACTTCAATTACAGCAGCACAGGTAGAGGTAAGCTGTGAGCCAGCACTGATGAGAAACAGGATCACTGATTACCTCATTTTGTAATGAAACAAAGCAGCAGAAAGAGAGAGAGAGACAAAGCTCTCTGAGGTGTAGAAAACTTCATGCAAAGACAGTTACATGATGATAGAGCAGATGGAATAAATTGGGGGAGACAAGATGAACAGGACACAGAAAGCACCCACGTGCACCCCAGTGCTGATGCAGGGCAGGGGGTGTCTGTGTGTGTGAGTGTGTGTGAGTGTGTCTGTGTGTGTGTTTGTGTGTGTGTGTGAGTGTGTGTGTGCAGGCTGCTGAACAGGGTAAATAAGCACAAGCACAGCTAAAAGCCACATGCAAGTCACTCCCCCACTCCTGCCTGGAGCAGACACAAGCTCCCCTCTGTAACTGATGGCTCTGGGGACACAGGCAAGCACAGAGAGCAAGTCATGAGCAGGTCATTTAACACACCCTCCTCTGGGGCCTGCTTCCTCCTGCCCTCTCTTAGCTGTGACTTCTAAGAATGAAACTGCCATGCAAGACATCCTTCCTGACACCTCAAACTCCCTGTATGACTGAAGTCCCCAGTCTCACAAAGCAAGCACGTCACTATTGGTTTGTTTTACCTTTCTTCCTGGCTTTGACGGCCTCTTCCCACAATCTCAGGGTCTCTACCTGCTTTCCAGGCCAACTTGTTACGTGCTGCTGCTGCTGCTGCTGTTGCTGCTGCTGCTGCTGCTGCTGCTGTTGTTGTTGTTGTTGCTGCTGCTGCTGCTGCTGCTGCTGTTGTTGTTGCTGCTGTTGCTGCTGCTGTTGCTGTTTCTGGTTGCTGGTCTCTTCACTCATGCATGCTATGCCAATCAAGTAAGAACATAAATTCACCTTGAAAAGTTACTCTGTTTTCTGCTGACATCACAAAGGCAAATTCTACAAAGAGCATGTGGAATCTCACAGGATTCCAAGAACAAAATCACAGAGGTGTTTAAAACAGTATCATTAGTTCTGTGCTTCATAAAACTACTTTTCCAACAGCTAAAAACCAAAACAGAAGTCAAGAACATCTACTCTAAGTGCCAAAACCAGACTTCTCTTGTCATTATTTAGTTTGTATTTAGGAAGAACAAAAGACTCCAATCAGTCTCTAGAGCTCAAACTGAATCCACTTCTTCTAAACTTTAGCTCCAGCTTAAGAATGAAAAATTTAAAAAGTCTTTTTACTTTTTATTGCAAATATAACTTAAAATTTTCAGTTTACATCAGAGAACAGCCTGTCACTACTCTCTGGCCCCAGTACAGCTCATCATTTCCACCTCTAACAACTGCTCAAAATGCCTCATGTGAACTGGCTTAGCACCACCAAACTGGCTTGGGAAGCCAGAGTTGTAACCTATACCTTGAAAAATACTTCACATCCAAATTTCCTACTAAGCTCAACAATCAGGCATTTCAGACATTCCTAGTACCTTCAAATTATCCAGGAGTAACAGGAACTGCAAAGATGTTGTAAATTAATACAGTTTAAAGGCTTTAAGGACAAAGTTTCCAAAGACAGTCCTTACTTTATTCCTCTGAAAACCCGTTTTATATTACTAACCATGTGGGGTTAACTGAAGTTACAGGTATTTCAGTAGGGAAAATTTGAAAGTCAAGTCTTCATTTGCTTGCTAGGCATTCCCAGGTCCAGAGTTTAAGTCTAGAAGGAGCTATTACAAACATCTCATCTGACCTCCTGCACAACATCAGTCAAATGCCATTAATGGCCAAAACCTATCAGGGCTGGATTTAAATCCTTTTCTTGTCAGCTGCTGCCTGAGGGAGGAAACACTGAGCCCCAGGGTCAAAGCTCAGAGAAAGCAGAGAAATCTTTCTCCTGATTTTGATGAGCTTTGGATGAGGCTTCAGACCTGAAAGCTGGCAAATCTTAGCAGTTCTTAAATAGTCCAAAATCTCCAGGCTATCTGTTGGACTTTTAGACCTGCAGAGTTCGGGAACCAGCACTGAAATTAAAAGGTCAGAAAACCTGGGAACTCTTTTCTTCAAGAGATGGACCACTGTCATGCACTGCAGGGCATTCCCAAGGGATGAGAGCACAGTCTTGCAGCAAACCAACTCCACACACGCCAACTCTTGAGCTGAAGCACATTCTATGAC